GTACATGTTAGAACAACTCTTATCTTTTAAGTAGAGCTCACTCTAGTTTGAGTATTCATTACTTAATTTTAGGGCAGCCAGTTTCCTCTTATTTTATTTTTTTTAAATAAACTCAACTTATCTGGGTTTAGAGTGTGCACATTAATACTGATCTACACTGTTACCCCATAATTCCGTGTGTCTGTCTGTTTCTGACAGCGCTGCAGCTGGTAGAGAAGCTTTGCCCTGGTCACTGATCTGCAGACTCTCTTCTGGGAGTGGAGAGCTGTGCTTAACCTGCTGGCCTGATGCTCAGTCATGAGGTAAGGTTGCAGTTCCAGGCTGATACGGCTGTCATCTTGTTTTCCTCTGTGCAGGCCTAACGCTGCCAGTCTTCCAGATCTCTACACAGAGCCACGTTGCCCCCTCTGAGACTGAACCTGATGCTGTGATCGTCTTGACGGAGGTGAGAATCTGCTGTGCTAATGCTGATCAGCGTCAGTGGAGCCTGCAGCGGTGTGATGCCTGAGGAAGAGGAGAGCGTTATACTGGTGATGGAGGCCAGAGATGAAGGTACTGCTCTGAGATCAACACAGCTGTGATTGGTCCACCACTGATGAAGAAACAGAACACACAACCACACACACACACACACACACACACACACACACACACACTGCTCTGCTGTGAATGCTTCAGGAGTCGGTGTGTGTTTCTAGAGACGTCTGGGGGGGCCTGAATACACTCCTGCTACTGCAAGCACACAATCCCCAGCTGAGTGTACGCACACACACACACATTTTCGTCCAGGACTATGGGGAATAAACAGTTAAAGTTGCTTTTGCAATGTAAATTTATCAATATGCATAATTCAGTAACAGTTTGAAATGTTAAATTGGGCCAATAACATGATGGGCTGCAGTTGATGCTTTTTCATTTGGTTCAACACTTTATTTCTCATTGAGCTGATGGTAACCGGCTCTTCCTCCTATTGAGAAAACAGATGTGAGCAGGCACTAAAGACCAGTTTAGCAGTATTTTGTCGTTCTTTTACAGTTAAGTATGTCAGTGCATGAACATAACTTTGTCACACTGTAAGCTGGCATCATGTTAGATCAACTAAAATGCACCAGAGCAAATCTGAATGGTTTCTTCTGAATGTATAAATATAGGAACATTGAATGTTCATGGCTCTGCTGTTGAGGAGTGGGAGGTGCTGCCAGATTTGTAACAAACAATTACTCAGATTAATTAAGGAATTATTATAATTGCTTTAGTGTAAAACTTCTCTCATTGCTTGACTGTTGTCTCTGCTAGCTGTTCCCCTCACCGGCCAGCAGAGGTCTCTCTAGTCCAGCTCATGTCTACAAGCCCAGGGCTGGCTCTGATTACGCTGCACCTGAAGCTGGTTTCCACACGCGCGTTTGCTTCTCTCAGCACTCGTACTCTTGCAAACTCTTGTTTTGCTCTATGCTTAATTCTAAGTGGTTCTATTCTCTGATTCTCCGTTGCAGATTGGACTGTTTACACCTTTTATGACTGTCTGCTTGCTGTCTGGATCTGGTCTGTGGTTTCGTTGTGGTTGTATGTGACCAGTTCTGACCATAGCCAGTATTGTGGTTGTGTTTCTGCCTGCCCCTGGATCAATGTAGCAGCCGATTCTGTTCCCTTCTGGAATTCCGCTTCCCCCTCCACAAAGCGTGTCTGCTAACAGAGTCTGCAGACACAATCCCAACACAACTGGGTGTATGGAAAGCGAAGATGGACGAGGCTTTCATGTCTTGAATGTAAGGTAAGCAACGTAATAATTAATCAAACACTCCCGTTAAGTGTGTTTTGTGGTTCTTGTTTGTATTCTCAGCGTCCTCTAATCTGCAGTGGCGCCCCCAGAAAATTTTCATAGGGGTGGCCAGAAGAGGGGTGGCACACACACAAAAATTAATTCAGTGTAATGTTATATTTTTGTTTCTGGTAAATTTAAATAATTTGATTTTATTTCATTTAATTAATTAGTCTTTAATTAATTAGCAAGTACATGTGCAAACCAAATAAAAATCAATATTTAGTTTAAAAACACTTCTCATATATAGAAATAACTTAAGTTATTTTTCACATACGTTTATTGTACAGCATACAGTATATGCCATGTCTAAAATTAATTGAGAATGAGTCAAATAATAAAACAAACAAGTGAACAAACTGAACAAGGCATTACTATATAAATACACACACACTCACTATACAGACCCTAATAATATCATTTATTCATATCCCTTTTTGAGCCACTTTATTAATGCAGCTTCTATTGATGTACCTTAAGGTAAATATTACATGGCCATTACTGTCTATTGAAGGTAGGTGTGTGTGTGTGTGTGTGTGTGTGTGTGTGTGTGTGTGTGTGTGTGTGTGTGTGTGTGTGTGTGTGTGTGTGTGTGTGTGTGTGTGTGTGTGTGTGTGTGTGTGTGTGTGTGTGTGTGTGTGTGTGTGTGTGTGCGCGCGCGGGGTCAATGACGATCAGGGAGGGCAGTGGTAGTTCTAGTTTAGATGGGCGAACCACCCCATATACCCACCCTCCTTAAATAGTTACATTTATATTTCAATAAATATAAAAATTTACTTAAATTTATTCTAAATAAATAAAAATATTGTTAATATTACACAATTATTATTCTAAATAAATAACAGACATCAATCCTAAAGTTTACTGGAAAACAATGTAACAGTGATAAGCTAAGATCACTTGGGGAACCTTTTGCATGAATAGCCTATTATTTATGACAATTCTATAGAATAAAAAAATGTGTGTTATAGAATTATCTGTGCTCTTAGACCCGAATTATGGCCGAGAAATAATGTTATGATGTCTTACCTCCCTGACTCTTTATCTCTCCTTTCTGACATGCTTGGTGAAAGTATCATCATATTATATAAACTTTAGTTTTGTCGACTTTCAAAACTAAACACCTGACACCTCTTTACAAATGGCTAACTCCAATGATTCACTTGGTTCTCATGCGCCGTGAAACCGAAGTGTTTAAACTGAGTGAATCATTGAAGTGTTTGAACTGAGTGAATCATTGAAGTGTTTGAACTGAGTGAATCATTGACGTTTTTGAACTGAGTGAATCATTGAAGTATTTGAACTGGGTGATTCATTGAATTGCTTGAACTGGGTGAATCATTGAAGTGTTTGAACTGAGTGAATCATTGAAGTGTTTGAACTGAGTGATTCATTGAAGTGTTTGAACTGAGTGAATCATTGAAGTGTTTGAACTGAGTGAATCATTGAAGTGTTTGAACTGAGTGATTCATTGAAGTGTTTGAACTGAGTGATTCATTGAAGTGCTTGAAATGAGTAAATCATTGAAGTGTTAGAACTGAGTGAATCATTGAAGTGTTTGAACTGAGTGAATCATTAAAGTGTTTGAACTGGGTGATTCATTGAAGTGTTTGAACTGAGTGATCCATTGAAGTGTTTGAACTGAGTGAATCATTAAAGTGTTTGAACTGGGTGAATCATTGAAGTGTTTGAACTGAGGGATCCATTGAAGGGCTTGAAATTAGTTGAACTGCAGGAATTATTGAAGTGTTTGAGTAGTTTATATTGAATCTCTGTGTGACTGTACTGAATGTAATCCTCTAATGTTTTGATGTGAATAAGTGGTTTAATCCTTGTGATTTGGTCAAATTAATTTCAAGTAGACAGAGGGACCTTAATTTATTTATTTGTTGTTGTTGTTGTTTTGTGCATTTGATTGTTGAATTTATGTATATTAGAGTGGTTTAAATTGTTGTTGTAAAATCTGTATAAAGTGTTCTTATTTTGAGGTTGTAAGGAGACCAAACTGAATAATATTAGACTGCAATTCAAACTGGGTTAGTCTTTAGTTTGTTCATCTTTAGCTCTATGACGGGTTCTTGTACTGCTAGTATATCCTGTGTAGCGCTGACTTTATAATTGTGTATTTTATTTTACTTATAAATGTATAAGCTGTCACCCCTACCCAGTCAGATCGCCACAGTGTTAATAACCTGAACATTTGACATTACGCAAAACAAATATTTACTAGTTAAGCTCTTAAACATTTATAGTTCACTGTTTTGAGATTAAACCACATTAATTGAAAAATAAAAAACCTAATATTAAACTGAAACGAAAGATTAAATTGGAGTTGAATGAAGTTCTGCTTGAAACTGTTTTCAGCTAAATAAGAGTTGCTTTTTGCCTGTTTGCATGCACATAACATAGTAAACAATGTAAACTACAGGCCTTCGAAAGAAGCGGTGACGTAAACATCTGAATAACCATCCATAATTCAACACTCTTGTGTCGCTGGTCTAAATGTGCTTCATGACTGTTGTTCAGTTTCCCCTTACCTGCCAAAATAAACCGCGATGTACAGGAATGATAGATGTGTCCTGTTATTATAGGTGTACTCCACTGTGTACTTAAACATTCATAATAAGCTTTTCAATAAAAACAGCTCGCTGTAATGGCGGCTTGAGGGTTTTAGCTTAATACTGATCTGTAGTTTGTAAAGACTATTCATATTCTTTTTGATGCAATCTGTTCATAAACACTGACATGTTCAGAAACTGTGTGTGTGTGTGTGTGTGTGTGTGTTGGAGTAGTTGCACCCACAAATCAAATCTGTTTGATCTCTGTATTATTGCTGGTAAAATGGATTCAAGGCACAATGAAAGACCTTTGATTAACATTTTTATTAGTTTTTTTTATTTTATAAACGCTATTGCAAGAATAGCTGCTAGCATGCTAGATCATATTCTAACTGAACATTATACTAAATGACGTCAGTGAGGTGCTGAAGATGGGCTGTGTTGAGTTGGTTTTCGATTTGTAGTTAGTATATTAATGAAAATATTAACCTTTTACCTTCAAAACCCCTTAAGAAAAAATCAGATGCGTGACTAAATCAGCAGCAGAGACATGGTTTGCATTCCTCTGACAGTAATATGCAGCACAGTTCTGCCGGTTTACTCCTACACGTGTCTTCTCCTGTAGGTCCAGTGCTGATGGAGAGACACTGAGTCTAGAAATCATCATGCGAGAGATGGAGGAGCTGAAGAGTCATCTGGCCCGCATCAACTCGCCAGTAGTGCTGTGCCATAATGACCTACTGACTGAAAACGTCATCTATAATCAAGAAGGTAAAATAATTAAGTGTAAGACAGTTTACCTGAGATTTTCAGCATAGGATAGAGCTGAGTTTAGTAAAGAGAGCTCATGGCAGCAGTATACCGCTGTCTGGTGCATTTACTGGACAGATTTAGTGTGCTCAATGCTTAAACCGGGGGATTTACACACTCATGGCCATTGCAGTATAAGCGTCTCTGGTATTGTCCGTCACACTCATCCTGTGTTTTCACTAATGCATTTATTTTTCATTCTTTTTTCTGTAGGTGCAGTAAAATTCATTGACTATGAATATGCAGATTTTAATTATCAAGCGTATGATATTGGGAACCATTTCAATGAGTTTGCAGGTAAAAAAAGTTCATATTAACAAAAACTGGACTTTAAAGTTTTATTTTCCCTCTCTAAATGATCTTTTGTCTTTGAGGTATCGATAATGTGGACTCCAGCCTGTACCCTAGTGACGAGCTTCAGTTTGATTGGCTCTCTGCTTACCTGGAGAGCTTCAAGCGGTGCAGCACTGGAGATTCTGCAGTGACCCAGACAGAGGTCCAGGAGCTTTATGAACAAGTCTGTCAGTTCTCCTTGGTGAGTGTTTGTGGGAGGCTGGGAGTCTTGAGTTTCCTGTTATTTCAGAAGAACACTTAGGAAGCCGTCTGTAGATTGAGTTTCATCAGCATTTCTCCAACAGCTCGTTTATGATGTGGCCATGTTCAGCAGTACAGGTGTACTCGAGCAGCAATGGAAGTCTTCAGATGACTCTGCAGATCACCACTAATGCTGCAATGTGTAGATGTTGTGGTCTTTTCGTGCACAGCTCATGTCTATTTGGGTTATGATGGATGTGCCATGCTGTGTGCTGAGGTTTTGGTGACAGCAGTTCTGATTTGCGGGATTGAGTTGATGCTCCAGGGATTATCTGTCAGAAATACTGATGATCTAGATTAAGCAGAGCAGCGATAGATCTTTCCCATCTTTCAAAAAGGCAAACACAGGACAGATACATTACACACGTCCAGAGCCACGTATCGGCAACTGGAGGACAGATATTCCTTGTTGACCGTTCAGCAGATCTGTGGCTCTAACACACAGGGGTGGCCAACCCTGTTCCTGGAGATCTCCCTTCCTGCAGATTTCAGTTGCTACCCATATCAAACACACCTGAACCAATTAATCAGGACCTGAACACCAGGTGATCATTACAGGCAGGTGTGTTTGATATGGGTAGCAAATGAAATCTGCATGAAGGGAGATCTCCAGGAACAGGGTTGGCCACCCC